CTGGAACATCTAATTTTCCAACCAATTCTCCAACCCTGTAGAACTGTGTAGAATGTGCATTCTGATCGTTGCATAGCTTGAGTCTCTCTCTCTCTGTCTCTGTCTCTCTCTCTCTCTCTCTCTCTCTCTCTCTCTCTCTCTCTCTCTCTCTCTCTCTCTCTCCATGTGTAGAAGTGTTTGAATCCCCGCAAGTATTGTCCTTTCCATATCGATCATTGTCGTTTTCCATGAGTTTGAGACACGTGGATTGGGAGTTTACTCTTTTGGCAATGCTGCGCAAATGGTTCCCGGATATAGTTCCACATGAAACGTTGACGTCGACATTAACCACTCTTCATGGTGCTCAACGAACTGAGAGGTTGAGCTGTGCTGAGCAGACTTGTGCCAGTAGCAGTGTAGCACACTTACCCACACGTTGCTAAAAAGATGGGGAGTGCTGAGGCACACACGTTCACCAATCAGCCGACAATCCGTGGAACAGTATTCTCAGTACTGTACCATGCAACTGCTGGCATCAGCACAGGGCGCGAAGGGCGTACTCACCCTAGAACATTTTCGGCAGACCTCTGGATGCGGTTGCTGTCAGATGCATCCAGAACTGGCCATCACTGCATACATCCAGGGAAGTCCTACCGTCTTACACCCGAATAGGACGCCCGGTCATTATAGGGACATATTTGGTGCAATTTTCAGTCCAGATATGGCTATAATTACCGGCATTCTATTTGGGTGATGATGGTGGTGTGAACAAAACCTTTTGACAGGATTACTATACCGTGCAACTTATCGCGTCAGCATGGAGCTCTAACGGTGTACTCACACTATAACTTTTGGACTGATATCTCGACGTAGTTGCAATCAAATGCATACAGAACTGCTCATGATTGCATTCATCCAGGAAAGTCCTACCAGCTTCCTGCGAACACAATGGACCCTCATTTTGAATGTACCAGGAGGGGAAAATAGTCTGTCGACATTCATTATCAGGCTGCATTATTTTCGTGGAAGGACGGTAGTGTAAATATGCTCTCAGACTGATTCTCCGCCTCGTCAGCCGATGTCCAAGTAGTAAAATGCTGGATAAGGATTAGTTTGACTTGCGAAACCTTTGCTTTGGCAGCTACGTGCTCAGGGACCTTTTTGTTTCTTTTTTACCCCTTCCCCCCCCTTACTCTTTGGGCTTATCCTGCAGGAGTATGGTTTTGCTAGCATTGCGGCAGTGAGCAGTAATGCATCAGACACCAACCAGAAGATAGCCACAAAACCTACTGGGCATCCTTGGATTCTCGCTAGCGCAGCAAAAACTCGTAATGCTGTGGTATATGATCCTTGATCTTAGCTCTGAAAGAGACCCCGAGTCTTCCGAGAGCCGGCGAAGGCCTCTAGTGAGCCTCTGGAGGCTCGCCGCCCACATGGCACTCCATGGTCGTGCGCGTCAGGAAGGAAGGCAACCATTGCTGGCCATTGTAGTTTACAAGTTAGTGTATCATCTGCTGAGGCAACAGCATGCTCAAGCGGGATTCGAGCCCAAAAAGAACATACCTCTGTCTACCTTTTTTTGCAGCTAAAAGGAAAAAGGACCTTTTCCCATTTCCTTCTGCGCCTTGAACTCGACTTGCTGCGCTTTCCTGCCGTGCAAGGTCATAACTTCATAGTACGTACCTGTTTCGAGTTTTAGTCCTGGTTTAAAAAGGTCAGACCAGTTTACCTGGATTATGGGCGCACAGTGTGATGTTGAGTGTAGAGAAGACAATCAACCAATTCACAGAAGTTTCGATTAGGTTACGAGTTGAAATGCTTTGCAAATTGCGTCTCAAGTTCCGAAGATTTCATCAGCGTTGCAGTTATGACTCTGCCACTGTGCATTCTGCATATAAGTTCTGCGAACACAGCTGCTGGTTCTCGACTGCTTCCATGGTTTGAAAAGAGTGAATGGATATTTTCTGGGGACGTATGGTGGGAGGGAAAAGGCACCGATGCAAACAGAGGGATGTGCTGAAGCTGACCCAGCTATTTTGACATTGTGTCCTGCCGACATGGCTCCGAAATGTGGAGGTGACACTGAAGAATGTCCCAAGAGGGAACGTTTGTTCAAGACAGGCTTGCCAATGCCTGAAGTTTTTCACGGGACATGGCTGGCACTGATAAGGAATCCGCTGCAGTCATGGAAGGGGTGTGGGGGTTAGTCACTAAAGAATGCACTTATTTTGAAATTATTGAAGATACACAATTGTACCAGGCAAAAGTTGCGACTACCCTCTTTTACTCTGATGATGGGTTGTTATGTTCGATCAAAGAACGTCCTTCCTGGCAGTTGGGTTTTAAGGGATCAGGTCACACCATCCTGTTGCGACTACCCTCTTTTACCCTGAACATAATGCGCCAGCATAATGACTGTACGTGGACTCGAAGAAGGTTTGTATATGTTCATGATGATGGGTTGTTATGTTCGGTGGAAGAACGGCCTTCCTGGCAGTTGGGCTGAAGGGATCAGGTCACACCATCCTTTTGCTCTGTGTTTGCAGTGTCTAGAACCAGCTGTTTGCCTGCCGGCCTGCTGTGGGTAGGATGCTTGATGATGATTAGATCACATGTACAAGTCTCTGATCTCGAGGCTCATCTATGGCATTAGGCTCAGCATTGCACGTCTGCATGGTTCTCTCCTTACAGACTCTCTGTGAATGGATGGTTCCTTCTCTGCGAGCGAATGGATTTCATAGATCTTCCAGTTGTAACACTCAGGAGCACCTGCAACGGTTGGGATGGGATGGGTTCTTGTTTTGTGTGCAGCCTGCCTATATCAGGGAGCTCTCCCTCCTCTCAAAGTGATGCAAGGGGGAAATGCCCAAGGTTGTGGCTTTGGAGATCGAATTGGATCTCCGTTGGTATTACCTGTGGGAGTTAGTTACTGGAATGTCAATTTCGCTCTTTAGATGAAAAAGCGTGCCTTATCTCTGTGTGTTGTTCCTCATGAGCTTGCTGACATCAGACCTTGTTCGCAGGTGGAAATGGATGCTGCAGATATGGGGAGAGATCTTGATGAGCCTGACGATGACTACAAGGGAGAGAGTTTCAGATTGTCAGCACTTGTCAAGGACGCCCTTCAGAAGGAAGGGAAGGACGATGGCAGGAAAGGCAATGGTGGTAACCATGCTGATGACAGTGATGATGAAGAGGAGAGCAAGAAGATGGAAGTTTCACTTATGTCGGCGATGCAAAATGGTGTGTGCTCCTTAGCATAGGAGCCTTTTTTTTTTTTTTTTTTTTCGCCAACTTCTTGTTTGGGAATCTTCATTTTCCACCTTTTAGGTTCAACCAACCAACCAACCAGGCTGTGCACATCGTGGACAACCTGCCTCTTTTGTCATCTGCCTTCTGCCGATAAGGGCAGAGGAAGGAGCAGGTAGACTAAACACTGGCAGAGAGCGATTGTAGGGCGCATGAGTTTGAAGGTTTAACCATGGCTATGCTGGCCTGGACACCGGACCAGATCCGGATGTCGGACACTGGACCTCCCAGTCCTATCCGGACAACCGGAAAACCGGAATATTCCGGGAAATCCGGACTGGTCCGGATGCAATGTCCGCATGCCTTTATTTTCTGGACAAACAAACAAACAAACAAACAAACAAACAAAACGGGGGGTGAATGCTCGATCTCATGTCTACATCTCGACGGTTCATGGGTGTACCACGAAGGGCTAAGTTATGCCATTGGCTTTTGTTTTGCCGAAAGGGCGGTGCCACACGGGACCCAGGAGGAAACCGGGAGGCACCGCGGGCCAGGCGGGAGCAGGGGGGGGAGAGAGAATGGGAGGTCCGGGACGCAGCGGTTCGCAGGGGTAGCAAGGCCGGGTGCACGGATGGGCGCGTTATGGGATTTGATGCGTGGAGGTGTAGGCCGTCGTCCAGTTATTTTTCCTTTTTCACCGACGGGAAGCGGCGGGCTTTTTTTGCACCGGTATTGCTTGGGACAGGCCGCAACCATCGAAGCAGAAGCGGCGGTCGAGCGGGGGAGGGTAGCGGCTCTACTAGGTAGGGTCCCACGCGGATCAGAGCAGCGCAGCGGTAGCGAGCCGGATGCAAACGGCCGGAGTGCGAGTGACCGAGTTCGTTCCATGTCTCTCTGTCTGTCTCTCTCTCCTCTCTCTCTCTCTCTCTCACACACACACACACACACACACACACACACACACACACACGCACACACACACATTCGCTGGCACGGTTAACGCACATGATCTTCGCACAGGGAATATGTGGCCTCGCTCCAATACTCAAGACCATCATCTTTGCGCAGGGAACATGTGGCCTCACTCCAATACTCACGACATTGAAAGGCAAAAAATATGGCGGTGTATCGATCCATGTTCTAGTGGAAAATTCATTCTCATTTTGCCCATTTCTTGAGTAGTGGAACGAGGCGGACGGTCATGGTCTCTCTCTCTCTCTCTCTCTCTCTCTCTCTCTCTCTCTCTCTCTCTCTCTCTCTCTCTCTCTCTCTCTCTCTCTCTCT